ATGAGGTGGCATAGAGATGGTTAAAATTAAACGATTTTTAACTCAACTTAGCAACTTTACAATGTGATATAAATTATTTCAAATACAGTATTTGAGCGAGACAATGAATTTTCACTGTATTTTATTTATTTAATTTCTAATATATCTGTTTTGTTTCCTTAATGGCATTAAAACAGATCTTGAGATACTTGGAGGTTTTATTTAATTTTCAAAGGTTAATGTCCATTTAATTTGAATATACATACAAGTCTCTATATTACAGCTGTCTGTATGCTGGTAACGATAAAATATTNGACAATAAAGTGGGTTTAGAATTACAATTTTTCAATATTTATTTTTATTTCAAGCAATCTTTCCTGATCTTTCTTGATTTTATAACAAGTGAATAATATAATGATGAGTTTTATACAAATTTGGAACAACTAACATTGTATTACTAATGCAGAATTTTAGAAAGGTATAATAGTAACGTGTACATGCAATCAAATGAGCTACTTAGTTTTTAGTTGAGACAGCAACACAATGTATTTAACAGCAAGAAATTTAACAAGTAGAAGACAAAGAACTGCCACTAAAAGAAGAGCCGATGGATAAATAAAGTTTGGACTTATCTTATAGCTAAATGATTTTTTAGACAATCAATTTCAATTCAACATGCTTAAGAAAGTTAATTATGTCTTATAAGTAAATCTTTTATGACAAAATTACGGATAATTACTTCTAATTATTTAAAAGAAAAAACTTGATAGCGTATTAAACTTTTGAGACTACGTAAAAATTGGAAAATTTCCATATTTGCCTGTGACCTTCGCTTGCCTTTTCATACTTTTTATCATGTTGAAGTATGGAGTTAGTAGTAATAATTATTGTTAAAGCGACTAGAAGTTAAACTTAGATGCTACATAAGAATTGGAAAATTGAAAATTCCCCGTCTTTGCATGTGACCATCACTTAGCGTTTGGTACTAGTGAATACTCCACCACACAACATCTATAAACTCAACATAGATGGTGCACACCAAAAAAACTTCGATAACGGAGAAGCATGCGGAATCATCAGAAACTACGAAGGTCAATGGGTTGATGGTTTCTCTTACCATACAATGGCCACATCCCCCATTCAAGCTGAAATCATCGCCCTTCTGAAAGGATTGGAACTTGCGTTCACAAAAAATCGAATTCCACTTATGGTGGAACAGATAGCCAGGTATTACTACAATTACTGCGTGACAATTCTCATACTAAAGCTAATTTTAATCTTCTACATGATTGCAGGTTCCTGTTAGAAGCTCTGAACCAACCGGAAGTTAGACATGTCTATCGTGAAGGAAACCAAGTGGCGCACATACTAGCGATATACTACTCCCGAGTGTGGCGAACACTTCTGGAGTGAACCACCTTTATTTGCTTTATCTACTTTCCGTAAAGACAAACTAGGGATTGTCTCGATAAGATCAGTCCGGCATTGTAATAACTCATTTACTTTCAATGCATAATAATATTCAGCGTCCCTGGGCACCTTTATCAACCAAAAAAAAAAAGCATGGAGTTAGTAAGAATTTTCATATGGTTTTCAAAGATAAGTTAATTGATAGACTTAAAATTAATTAATTTCCATTTTTGTAACCGAAGTTATATTAAACAATTTGGACAGAGGAACTTTTCATCAATTTTAGCTCATACAAGCTCGAAAAATAGTGAAGAAACTTAATCAAGTAATAAAGTTAAATTATATATTTGAATAGTTTACTACTTAACTAGTATTTCAGTTGTTCTCCAACTAAAGTTGCCTTTTAGGTACAGTTTCTTGATATGAATTTTGCAACCTTAAATGTTGGGACTAAATGGTGAAAACAATGTATCACATAGTAGTCTTTTGAAAATAACATAACTTAGAAACAAAAACTTAATACTAATTCGTATTGTCATAGCTGATCTTTTAATAACATTAGGTGCAATCCCATGTCAAGTCTCAGACAGAATGCTAGGAGAATTTTGAAAACAAGTACATGGAAGTTATTTGGATATGTCAAGCACATGCATCCTTGACCAAAAAATTTGAGGCACAAGGATATGGCTGCTTTTAGTGAAAATGGACGAAAACAGCTACTCGAACTAGCGATAAGTGTTCCCAATCAAGAAAAATACACAGGAAACAGGCAGTCCGGCCGTGAATAATTCTTTTACATCATAGTTTTTACTGCAGCTCTAGCTGCCTTAAACATTTGAGTTCAAAGTGGAAGACCCTGATGCTAACTTAGGCACTGTGTTACAAATTACAATACTACTACAAGCTAGGTTGAACTTCCTAAGCTAGGTTACAATCTATAACAATCTATCTCAACAAAGTGGTGAAGGCAGACAAGGACCAAATTTTGTAAACCAACAATTCTGATATGCGTTGGGCGCTGCTATTGGAGGCTGTTGCTTGCACAAAGCCTTTTCTGGTGTCCCAAAATGTGAAAGATTGGCCTTGGCAAACTCTTCAAATCTGATGTTTGGTAATACTAAGCCATTATTTCCTTGGAATTGTGATGAAGTGCATTGCTGCTGTACTATATTCTGAGAGCATAAGTATTTCACCAGTAAGAGTCTTGACTGCAAACACGAAGCAAGGATATGTCCATATTTCATCAGAAGGTAAACCCACTGTGGAAGGAGCATTAACACAAGGCATATTCGGACAAGAACCTGGGATCGCCTTGGCATCCACTTTCTTGTCATTTATGACTGTAATGCGCCAGTTAGAGTTTTATTGCAAATTTTATGCATGGATCCGTCCAAATGTCACTTAAAGACGACTCAAGAGCATTTTCACCTTTCTTATCACCTTCACAGCTAGCAAGGGTACTTTTTGCAGGTTTAGCAGAAGAAGGAAGTTCTCGCTCCTTTAGTGGTAAAGTAACAACGTCTTGTTGCCTTTTGATGGTCACACTCCCAATTTTTTACCTTCTTGTTGATGGTAATACCAGTTAATGCAGTTGCAACATGTTTACTGGTATTAATATTTCTCACTTCCAAATTAAAAACATTCATTTTGATAAACTACTAAGAAACGTGTGACATGCCTAAACTAAGTTTTCTTTTTTCTTTAAAAGAAAGCCTGTATGATATAATATCTTTTGATGATAGTAGAGACTGCAGTATCAAAAGAATTTCTCATATTAAAAGCTTTCCCCCCCAAGAATTACAGTAGTAAACTAGTTCTTGAATTCATAAAGAAATTTGTAAGTGAGGAATGGAAGGAAACTTACAATAAATAGATGACATAAGAGCATAAATAAATCGTTAAATAACTGCATATCAAACTGAAACACTAGAATTTTCCAATAGTGAGTAATACCTTCAAGGGATGATGTGTGCCTTCTACACAACTGGAATGCGCCATATGTTCAGCACCCAACTTCAGCTTCTGATTCGAATTAACTTCCTTGCTAGATGCATCGCGGTCTGGCGATATATACTTGTCAGCTTCAGCAGTCAACTAGCGAATACCAGAAATAAACAAAAAGATTAGATTGTAGAATTACCATGGATAATTTGAAGTCTTGCTGACGAGTTTTATATGTGGGGAGACTGTCCTGTTTGCAATAGAATTATAATCAACAGTTTTAAATGATTATAATGAGATAGGGAGGTTGTGAAGTTTATTTCTTTGATGAAGAATGCACTGTATTAAGAATCTGACCTCCTCCGCTATTTTTATAAACGAAATGGAGACCAGAGATGCTACAGATATGAAATCACCAATAAACGTTTAGCATGACAAAAAGACGACGGAAAGAATATTTTTTTTTTTAGACTTTTCTCCTCTCAAAGTTAATATCCAGAACCTCACAAAGTTTCCTGAGGGAGGTGTAATCAGTTTGTTTACAGATGTCTAAATAAAGCTTGTAGGATATGAACTAGACCTTCTTTTCTAAGGTCAAGTCGGTGAGAAAATACAAGTATCACCACTTCCACTAGCATAGATATCAGGATCTTTAATATACTGCTTATCTAAAATCCAGCAATTTGAGGTGTAATTTCATCATACAATTTAATTTTCTCTGACACCACATTAATTCAAATAATTACTAATTACCTCCATAAATTATTTTAAACAGGAGGTCTTGGATTCTAACTAGCTTATGGAAATGTATGATTTTTTAACTACCATAGTAACGCATAATACCAGTAAATGAGAATTAACATGCGAAAAACATTCACACTTACAGAAGAAAAAGGTTCTCCCAGTTCTGAAGTGTCAGGACTCTAATCCTCAGGCTTGGGAGTCAAATCTTCCTGACTCTCTAGTTTCAAGGAACCGAGAAACTTCCTTCATAAAGCGGAAAATTTGTCCACTGATGGGGTCGATATAATACTGCAAAGGTAATTCTGTAACTATATTACTACATGCTCCAAGTAGAATGCAATTGGTGGGATGACGCATGTTCGGGGCATTAAATATGGAGAGATGTGCGTCTAATCAACCATCAGAAACCTTCAGAGGGAGTTATAGTAATTAATTTCCGCCAAAAAGGTATTTCTACCAACTTCAGTAACATAAAGTTATGTCACCATAAAGCACGAAGACTAATCTA